GTTGCCCAAGCTGGAGTGCAGTGGCGCGATCCTGGCTCACTGAAAGCTCCGCCTCCTGGGTCCACGCCATTCTCCTGCCTCAGCCTCCCAAGTAGCTGGGACTACAGGCGCCCGCCACCGCGCCTGGCTCATTTTTTGTATTTTTAGTAGAGACGGGGTTTCACCGTGGTCTTGATCTCCTGACCTTGTGATCCGCCCGCCTCAGCCTCCCAAAGTGCTGGGATTACAGGCGTGAGCCACCGCGCCCGGCGAGAAATCCCGTATTATTCTAACTTGTGCTCCTCTGTACATAATTTGTCTTATTCTCAGCTTTTAAGATTTTCTCTTGATCTATGTTTTTCAGCAAACTCATGATGCTATGCCTTGATATTCTTCCGTATCTCTATTTAATGTATTAAAACTTTCTTCTGGCTTCTTGAACACATGGAACATAGTTATTATGGATGCGCGAAAGTCCTTGTCTGTTAATTCAATCATCTGGGTCATTTCTGGGCTTGTTTTGTGAATGTACTTTTCTGTTATTAGTCATGTTGCTTTTTGGTATGCTGGCTAGCTCTTGAACGGATACTGGCTATTGTGAATCTTAGAGTGTGTTCGTTTAAAGTGCGCTGCACCTTGTTGTGACACACGGTTTGTTGTAGATATTTGATCCTCTTGAGGCTTGCTTTTAAGCTCTGTTAGGGTGGGGCCAGAGCAGCTTTTCATCTAGGATTAATTTCTGACCTCAGGAGTGCCCCACTCCTGAGGTGAGAAACTTCTGAGGACTGTCCCCGAGGCCCCCATATTACAAACTCTTTTCATTCCAGCTGGTGGAAATGGAATCTGCTGCCAGCCCGTGTGAGCTCCAAGAACTGTTTGACCTGAGGCTTTCCGGATTTCTCTCTCAGTGCTCAGCCGAAGAGCATGTGCAGACGCCAGCACCCTGTCTTCGTGCAACTCTCCTCTCTCTATTATTCTTTCTCATCAATTCTAGACGACCCAGCCTCCGTGAACCCCAATCTCTATCCCCTCAATTCAATGAGACTGACAGGTTCCCCCTGCTGAATTGCAGCCTGAGCACTCTGTCTAGGCAAGAAGCAACTGGAGCAATCATAGTTGTCTCATCGCTTTTTCTCCTTCTCTCAGGCATCCTGGGCCTGCACATCTGCTGGCCAATGCCCTAAACAGTTATTTTTCCATAGATTTTGCCTGTTTTTCTAGTTGTTCATGGTGGGAGGACAATTTCCATAACAGTCATCCTTTGTGGGCAGACAGAGAAGTCCCGTGTGGCGCAGTTTTGCATTTGCTTCCCTGAGGCCCCAGACAGCGACCATTTTTATGGGAATTCTTGGCTTGATATTGTTTCCATGTGGTGCTGTAAATTTGCACCCCACAAACATGCAGTACTAGTTTGAGGAATCCATTACATTTTCTGTCTATCCAGAACCGCCCCCAGGCAGATGGAAAGCTTCAGTATAGCTTCTCTATGTCAGTTGGTGATATTTTTACTATTCCCATTTTTGTTTTGACTAAGCCACTCTTTGTGCATTTCAGATTTGTGCAGGGATCCTGGTACCAACTCACTTCCTTGAACAATCCAGGTCTACATCTCTCATTCTGGCATGGGTATTAAAACTCCAGTCCCAGATCTTAGGGCTTATATCTAGGCAAAATTAGGATTTCTGCATTATGTAGGCTGTGCATATTTGATTGTCATGTATTTGAAATGTCTTAGCCTACCGACTTCAGTTTTGTTTTTTTTTTTTTTGACAGATATCACTCTGTCTTCCAGGCTGGAGTGCAGTGGTGCAGTCACAGCTCACTGCAGCCTTGACCTCCCAGGCTCAAACGATCTTCCTGCTTCAGCCTCCCGAGTAGCTGGAACCACAGGTTTATGCCACCACCCACAGCTAATTTTGGATTTTTTGTAGAGACGGGTTTCCACCATGTTCCCCAGGCTAGTCTCAAACTCCTGGGCTCGAGTGATCCTCCTGCCTTGGCCTCCCAAAGTGCTGGGATTACAGGTGGAAGCCACTGCACCCAGCCTCCAGCTTTGTGATTCCAATGTAAAATGTCTAATTGACTATGATTTTATGTTCCTCTTACTAAGTTTATATACAACATGAGAATATTTATGAAAACTCCAAATTTTCTGTATATACTTAGTTTAGTAGATAATTAAAGTTATTTAAGTTCTTGAGACAGTTTTGTTTAGGTCAGATGATAGTAGTTCTTAAAGTGGAGAGAAAATATATTAATTTATAAATAAAGCTTAACAAATTAAAGGGAATTTAGTTATGCTATAACAAGCAGCCTTAAACTTAATGTTCTTCAATGGTTAGATTTTTAAATGGAAAAATCATGTTTTAAAGTTGAACTTCAAGAATTTAGGAAGATCTAGGGTTTAAAATGTGTCACTTGACTATACTCTCTCTCTCTCTCTCTCTCTATATATATATATATATATATATATATTTTTTTTTTTTTTGAGATGGAGTTTCGCTCTTATTGCCCAGGCTGGAGTGCAATGGTGTGAGCTTGGCTCACCACAACCTTCGCCTCCTGGGTTCAAGCAATTCTCCTGCCTCAGCCTCCCGAGCAACTGGGATTACAAGCATGTGCCACCACGCCCAGCTAGTTTTGTACTTTTAGTAGAGACGGGGTTTCTCCATGTTGGTCAGGCTGGTCTCGAACTCCCAACCTCAGGTGATCTGCCCGCCTTGGCCTCCCAAAGTGCTGGGATTACAGGCGTGAGCTACCATGCCCAATCTATATATTAATTTTATAAAACTAAAGTAAATTCTGAATGGTCTTTTCTGTGTTCCAAGTTGATCCTTTAAGCACCACCACTTCACATTTACCACGTCACAGGTTCATAAATTCTTATGTGTTACAAAGTACCTTCGGCATCATTAAAGTGATGGATCTATAGTTTCAGTTATATTTTTTTCCCTGTAGAAATAACAGCTTTTTACCTACGCTATTAAATCTCGAGGTCACTGGTTTAGTTTGGTCATTATAATGGCTGAAATAATTCTTGTAACTTTATTTATTTATTTATTTATTTTGAGACGGAATCTCGCTCTGTCGCCCAGGCTGGAGTGCAGTGGCACGATCTCAGTTCACTGCAAGCTCCGCCTCCTGGGTTTACGCCATTCTCCTGCCTCAGCCTCCCGAGTAGCTGGGACTACAGGCGCCTGCCACCACACCCGGCTAGTTTTTTGTATTTTTTTAGTAGAGACGGGGTTTCACTGTGTTAGCCAGGATGGTCTCGATCTCCTGACCTCGTGATCCGCCCGTCTCAGCCTCCCAAAGTGCTGGGATTACAGGCTTGAGCCACCGCGCCCGGCTCTTGTAACTTTTTTACTGAGAAATCTCAGCATATGGAGCTCCGAACACAAAAGCCATCTCCCCGACTCACTGCTGCTGTGTCCTATCACGCCTCTCTGCTGGGCGCAGGGGTCTTAGGCCACACTTCGATTTCATACATTTTTTGTACAGTTTCAGAATTTGGAACACACTGTTTTGAAATTTCGTTTCCACCTGATTCAACATCCTTCTTGCTTTCTCCCCAGTCTGGGCTCCAGCAGGTGGAAATTAGAGAAGGGGTGGGAGGTGCTGCTTGCAGAAACCCCACCTCTCCGATGCTGGGAACTCTGTTGCTGGCCCTTTGAGGGGTGTGGTGGGGGCTTTTCGGAGAGTCTTAGGGGCCTCTCGCTTGTACAGCCCTTGGCCCTTGGCATGGGAGGTCTGCCGCCGCTTGAACCCTCCCCGCCCCCACCCCCACCCCGCCACCCTCCTGCCTTTAGCTCCCCGGCAGGTGTCCACCCACTGGCAGTTTCCTTCTGGGTCAGCTTGTTCAGAGGTAGGCCTCTTGCTGAGGCAGGGAGAACTGCAGACTGCTCATGGCCAGCCACCTTCCACGGGGTCCACTTGACCCTTGGGAAGCTCATCTACTTGCCATATCTGGGAGTGAGAACACAGCATCTGGCTCCTGCTTGGTGTTCAGTGTCACAGCAGCAGCATCCAGCACTTGCCTGGACAAGAGGATTGGCCACAGTCAGATGAGAAGCAATTTCCAGCCTTAAACTTCTAAAGGAGAGGGTGTGCAACAGTTCCTGCCAACTGTGTAAGGAAATTTCTTGCCCCATCTGCTACCTTTGGCAGGAGAAAGAAGGGGAAATAATTGTTTTTATGAGATGGTCTTATTCTGTCGCCCAGGCTGGAGAGCAGCGGTGCCATCATGGCTCACTGCAGCCTTGACCTCCCAGGCTCAAATGATCCTCCCACCTCAGCTTCCCAAGTAGCTGCGACTATAGGTGGGCACCACCACACCCAGCTGATTTTTAAAATTTGTTGTGGAGGGGGGTCTCGCTATGTTGCCCAGGCTGGTCTTGAACTCCTGGACTCAAGCAATCCTCCTGCCTCAGCCTTCCAAAGTGCTGGGATTATAGGTGTGAGCTACTGCAGCCAACAGAAAAAACTTCACCTTGACAATTTTCCTAGAATGGTGTGTGTTGTGTGTGTGTGTGTGTGTGTGTGTGTGTGTGTGTGTGTGTGGTGCTGGGGTCAGGGAGGACAAAACTTTCTAAAACAGCTGCTGCTGGGATGCTCTCAGCAAACCCCTCAGGGAGTGGCAAGTTCCACAGCTGGCAGTTCTCTGCGCTTAGAATGAAGGCTTCTTTTGTACCTTTTATTCTTAGCTGTGGGCCCTTAGTCTCCAATTCTGGCACGAGGCACCTCACACCATCTTATCACATGTAATTGGCACGCTACGTTCAGTTGTCTTGTGTATCTTATTAATGGAATGGGCTTGTGTGGTGAGCCACCGGATGTGCCGGCGCAGTGTAATTTCACACCCCGAACCTCGTTGAGCTCAGACGACTTATCTGATCATGTTGCAAGGTACTGCTTCCACCAAAAGGAATTTCAGTCAGAAGATGTGGCACAAGAAGCATTGAGAAAGAAGCACCAAGAACACCCAACCTAGTAGCAAAACAGCAGGAATTTGAGAAACAGTGTCGGAGAAGAGGACAGATGTGAAAACTGTTTATTCATACTGAGGAGGTTCCCAGCCATAAGGCGCCCATTGAAAAGCACAGCACTTCTGTGACAACACACGAGACACGGCCGTGGCTTCACAGCTGCAGCTAATCCCAACTCACCCCACAACACATTCGTCTGCCCTCTGACCATCACTCAATGTCCCTCCAACTGTATTCAAGTCTTCTCCTTAAAACTCTTTCCTAATCTTCATGCTATGAATGGTATTTTCTTAACACATAATTTTGTAGATAAAGAAAAACAATTAAAGTGTCACTAGTTGGTGCTTTTTTATATGAATGAAAGATCTGACATTATTTCCCCCTCAAGCCAGAAAAGAAGAGGGAGGAGAAAGCACGAAGACGTCTCATCCTTAACCCAAACCATTCACACCCAAGTCGCACAGGCCGCCTGGCTCTCCTCGCACCCCCGGTCACTTGGCCTTCTTGCCGCCTTTCTGGGCCTCCAAGGCAGCCATCCTCGCCTCCTCCTCTGGGATGAACACGCTGACAGTGAAGTCGCTGGTCTCCGAGCCATACTTGTTCTTCACAACCAGCCCGTATTTGCCCGAGTCAGCGGTGCTCACGCCGTTGATGGTGAAGTACGCGGTCTTCCCGGCCTCGAACTTGAGGTTGCAGTGGTCATCTGAGGCCAGGGCCTTTTCGTTCTTCAACCACGAGACCTCCGGAGGCGGGTCTCCCCACACATTGCAAGTGAGATTAAGGGCCTGCAAGACAGGTTTTATGGGAGAGAAGAAGACAAATTAGATATAATAGACACAATGTCAACAATCTTGCCGGCTACTGGCTTGGCATGACCAAAGGGAGGATAAGTAAAAACCTCCTGGACCAGGGTTTAAAGTAGTTATGTGTGTGCACCCATGTGAGTTACAGTTTGAAATAACGTCTGAGGGGATCTCCTCAAGGCGTTTTTATGCTCCTCAAGGCCTTTATATGCTTTCTGGCTTCTGGAATGCTTATTATCAAAAACACACAAAAGAGTTTATGTCTATTCCCCATTTTCACTTTCTCCTTCATAAACATATAGATGCCTTTTGCTCTATTGTGGCATTTTGGGTTCTGTCTCAGTAGAGGAATCTCATTGCTGTAATTGCCACCTACTCCCTTTTGCATTTCATTTGTGTCAAAGAGCCGGGCAGCAGAATCACGGCAGCTGCTTCAGATAATGTTACCAATTTTCAAATTCCACCACCATTATTTTACTTCTCTCCTCAAACCCCACTCAATCTGTCGCAGTTGCAGTGGTTCCCTACCAAAATGTATTCCTAAAGAAAATATTCTCATCTGTGCCGAAACCTTATTCTAAAAGATCGATATTCTCAATATATATGTAGATACAAGGTCTACAGTTTTACTTTACCTTACTATTTTTAATTGAAAAAAAATTTAGATAATTGTAAATTCACATGCAGTTGTAAGAAAGAATAAAGAGATCCATAAGAAATAATAAAGAGATCAGGTGTGCTGTCTACCAAGCTTCCCCAGTGGTAACATTTTGCAAAACTGTAGTACAATGTCATAACCAGTATATTGACATTGAGGCAATCCACTGACCTTATTTAGATGTCTCTAATTTTACTGGTGCTTATTTGTGTTTGCATGTGTTTCATTCTATTCAATTTACAGAATATTTTCATCACCACAAGAACCCCTTGTGTTGTCCTTTTATAACTACACCCAGCTCTCTCCTCCAACTTCCAACCTCTGTTCCTAATCTCTGGCAACCACTCATCTGTTTTCCATTTCTAATATTTTGTCAGGTCAAAGATATTATATAAATAGAATCACGCACTCTATAACCTTTCAGAAAAATCTTTGTAACTCAGCACAATTACTTGCAGATTCATCCAAGGTGCTGCATGGATCAAGAGTTTATCCCTTGTTATTGCTGAATAGAATGTCATAGTATGTTTATGCCCGTAAGGGTCATCTGAGCGTTTTCCAGTTTTGAACTATGATGAACTAAGTCGCTATGAACATTTGTGTACAGGTTTTTATGTGAGCATAAGTTGTCATTTCTGTGGGATAAATGCCCAGGGATACAATTGCTGGAATGTATGATAAATGCATGTTTCATTTTTTTCTTAATTTTTTAAATTAAAAAAATAGAGAATAGAGATGGAGTCTCATTATGTTGACCAGGCTGGTCTTGAACTCCTGGTCTCAAGCAATCTTCACATCGCGGTCCCCCAAAGTGCTGGGATTACAGGCATGACCCACCACACCCAGCTCATGTTTTCTTTCTTTTTTTTTTTTTCGAGAAATAGCTAAACTGTTTTTCTGAGTGGCTATACAATTTTGGGTTACATTCCCACCGGAATATACAAGTGATTCAGTTTCTCCACAGCCTCCCAACCATTTGTTGTTGTACACCAGCCCACCCAGCTTCTATTCTTTTTTACAGCAATTCTGATAGGTGTGGTGTGTTATTTCATTGTGGTTTTAATGTTCACTTGCCTGGTGGCTAATGATGTTGAATTTACTTCACATTTTAAAATTCCATTCTTGTATTTTTATCTTACTAAAATCCAGACATGATAAGGAAAGAACTAGGGCTCACAATGTATAGAGAAAACACCCATCTACCTGTCTTTCTAAAGAGTCTTACATGATTATCTGTTACCCCTTTTGTAGGTGTATCATTTACAATTGGATAGATTAAGAAATCTGTTTTTACCCCATCACTAATTAATATTTCTTACTGAATTACCCTGCAAATACGTTTCAGTCAAAAAAAGAGGAGTCCAATTATTATCCTTAAACTTAATGAGCAGATTAGGTATATGCTTTTGGAAACTGCGATTGCCTGTAGTTAAAGCTTTTAACAAAGTCAAACAAAAAGTCCCAAACACTCCCTGACAGTCTAGTGGTTAGAAAAAAAATGCAAAAAACCAAAAAACGAAACTCCCAAACACCTTAGGCGTCATGGAAAACTCTTATCCACACTTCAGATTTGAGTTCTGCATTACAAAGTACTGTCATATACATTCTCTTTCTTAATTCTCAGTATGACCTAGAGCGTTGTATATTTTTAACCTGATTAGGTGAGGAAAATGGAAAAGAGAGTTGAAGAACAAAAGAAGCCCTGCAGTGGGTGAGCTTAAAATTAACCGTGATCCTATTTTCCACTCGTGAGGAAGCACCGTTGAATGAAACCTACCTCTTGCTAAAGCATTTCCACATGCCTTGCTTCGTTACCCGAATTCCAGTCACCCACTGTATGTCTTCACTGCCCTTTGAAGTGGAAAATTTGTTCTACTACAAATATCTCTACCCCTAGGACTGGTATGTTAAACTGGTTGTAATTTATTTTCCATTTATTTTTGTAGGCAGCATCTTACTGTGTGGTCCAGGCTGAAGGGAAGTGGCATGTCATGACTCACTGCAGCTTTGACCTCCTGGGTTTCTTGAGAGAAACAGACAGGTGTGCACCACCATCCCCAGCTGACTTTAAAAAATTTTTTTGTAGAGACGGAGTCTCATTATGTTGCCCAGGCTAGTTTGAACTCCTGGGCATAAGCAATCCTCCTGCCTTGGCCTCCCAAAGTGCTGGTTTACAGTCATGAGCCACTGTGCCCAGGGGCTGTAAACTTTTTAATTAAACATAAAGATAAAAAAAGTGAATCCAGGTTAGAAATTGTGTTGATTCGCTCAGACTGTGTAGAGTTAAATGAAAGTAAGGAAGGCCTCATTTGGCATCTTTATCTTACAGGGGCTCTTCGGAAAATGCACAGTACTTGTTGGGGACAAGTTGCAGTGATTTACCTGATGCCAAATTTACAATGTTGTGAACTCTTGGAGAGATCATTATAGAGACAGGTTACATCAGTTTAAAACCAAATGGAGAGAAACCAGAGGGGCATGTTCTATTTTTGTGTGTGTGTATGTGACAGGGTCTCTGTCACTCAGGCTGGAGTGATCTTGGCTCACTGCAACCTCCGCCTCTTGGGCTCAAGCGGTCCTCCCACTCAGACTCCCGACTAGCTGGGACTACAGGTGTGCATCACTACACTCGGCTAATTTTTGTATTTTTTGTAGAGATGGGGTTTCACCGTGTTGCGCAGGTTGGTCTCAAACTCCTGGGCTCAAGTGATCTGTGCCCCTTGGCCTCCCAAAGTGCTGAGATTACAGGCGTGAGCCACTGCACCTGGCCTAGGGGCACATGTTCTCAGGATCCCCTGGAGTTCTGTCACAGGGTAAAAAAATTAATAAAAAAAGAAAGAAAGAAGCCTGTTTTCAACAGAACTAGAGCCTATAGAAATTTCCATATTCCACTGTGTTAGAGGTAATTTCTTTCTTCAATTGTATTTGTCATAGAGTTAACACAGAACATTTTCAGTTTCTCATAATTTTAAAGGGTGACTTTTGAAAGATACTAAGTGGTCTACATATGTCTATTAGAGACAAACTTTTATCCTGATGCTTGACCTATAAAACATTAAGATGATTGGAAAACCAACTGCTTTTTTTGAGATGGAGTCTCACTCTGTTGCCTGGGCTGGAGTGCCGTGGCATGATCTTGGCTCACTGTAACCTCCACCTCCCAGGTTCAAGCAACTCTTCTGCCTCAGCCTACCAAATTGCTGGGATTACAGGCACCTGCCAACACACCAGGCTAATTTTTGTATTTTTAATAGAGACAGGGTTTCACCACGTTGGCCAGGCTGGTCTCGAACTCCTGACCTCAGGTGATCCACCTGCCTCGACCTCCCAAAGTGTTGGGATTACAGGCGTGAGCGACTGTGCCTGTCCAGAAAATCAACTGATTTTTAACCTTGTGTTTGGTTACTTTGGTTAAGTATAAGCAGCTATGGAATAAGATGAGGGTGGTGGGCCGTTAAGCGTATCTTAAAAGAAGGAACCAAGGTTGGGGTGCTGGAACCTGTTTCTAGTGCAGAAGGAACAGGCACAGGCAGGCTCCATGCTTACCTTCCCCTCCTGGATGGTGACCACATCTGGGAGACCTCCCAACACCCGGGCACGATCTGTAAGCATAGGCATTTTGAGTTAATCACTGCCGTGGCAAGGCCAGCGGCCATACTCACAAAACCACCCAGGAAGCTACAGTTCCAATTCAGTTTCCTTCTCCTGATTCTTCTATACAGTTTTCAATATGCAAAAGAAGAAAATGATCCAGGGATTCAGGATTTTTCTTTTCTTTTCTTTTTTTTTTTTTTTTTTTGAGACTGAGTCTCGCTCTGTCACCTAGGCTGGAGTGCAATGCCACGATCTCAGCTCGCTGCAACCTCCACCCACTGGGTTCAAGAGATTCTCCTGCCTCAGCCTCCTGAGTAGGTGGGATTATAGGCGCCTGCCACTGTGCCCAGCTAATTTTTGTATTTTTAGTAGAGACGCGGTTTCACCATCTTGGCCAGGCTGGTCTTGAACTCCTGACCTCAGGTGATCCACCCACCTCGGCCTCCCAAAGCGCTAGGATTACAGGTGTGAGCCACTGCGCCTGGCCCTTACAATGTTTCTTGATGTTTCTTTTCTCCAATACATATACACTTTTATGAGACACTGTATCTGCAAGTGACTAACAACCTATTGTATGATTTGCAGCCAAGAGGTTTCTCAGGATGTCTGGGTTGTAGCTCAAGTCAAGGGGAGGGTGACATTCTTTACAATGTAACCTGAGACCTTCTTTTCATAGCTATTCTTACTCAAAAGACTAAAATGAAAACATATGTAGAACACCTAAGATTTAAAAAAGAAACAACAACAACAAAAAAACACTTCCACTCTCCTCCATCTGTAGTCATAATAGCAAAACAAAATTATCTTTTGAATCTATCCCAGGAGTACTTGTGAAAATGGTTTACTCACTTTTCTCGGCAATGGCAGCTTGTCTGTGGTTGAGAGAAACAAACAAAGAAGAATTTAGTGTTAGTATTACTTCAAAGTAGCTAAACTTGACGACATTTTCATCGCCTCAGAAACATTTTGCTGTTCAATATAACAGTGGGAAGTGCTACTTCTACTGTATTTTCTGAAATAAAAGGCTCTTTCTAACACTCAGAGGGGTAAGTAATGCAAGCTTCCAGGGAAATTAGTGCATGCAAGTGGCATTGGTTAGGACAAGGGACTTACTTCAACCTCTGGAATTCAGCATAGGCCTCGTCGTATGCTTTAAATGAAAAAAGAAGAGTTAGAATTTTCTCACCCAGAATTGACAACACACAAGGGTATTAAAATTCACAACTGGAGATCATTGTGATCAGTCCAGACATGACTAAACTGACTTTGATTAAGACTGTGCTTATGTGTTCACTCCACAGCTTAATGTACTTAACAAGGTCAGGAAATACTTTCTAGGCACAAAATACTAAATAGTAGATTTTAGAAGCTTTCAACTCAGCCAGAGGGTTTCAGCCCCTCAAATGGAAAGGCAGAGATTAACTCCAACGAAGAAAAATATGGGAATAAATGTCTGTTTCTTTTCTTTTTTTGAGACGGAGTCTCGCTGTGCCCAGGCTGGAGTGCAATGGTGCAATCTCGGCTCACTGCAACCTCCACCTCCCAGGTATAAGCGATTCTCCTGCCTCAGCCTCCCAAGTAGCTGGGACTAATCAAGTAGCATGCACCACCACACCCAGTTAATTTTTGTGTTTTTAATAGAGATGGGGTTTCACCATGTTGGGCAGACTGGTTTCAAACTCCTGACCTGCCTGCCTCGGCCTCCCAAAGTGCTGGGATTACAGGCATGAGCCACTGCGCCCGGCCATAAAAGTCTGTTTCAAAGAAAAGCTGGCTGTTGAGTAAACATCCTGAGTGTCAAACAAAAACAAAAACAAAAACTTTCTCTTATTAAATTATCCCAGACATCAGAGCCTCCTAGATAGGCAGTTAACTCTGTTTCTGTTATGCTGTCTGGTCTATTTGGGCAACAAAGCACAATGAATTACTGTGATCACAGAGGGCTGGTGCTTGCCTGAAGCAATGTTTCTTATGCCATGATGGAGAGGGGATGAAAGGCAAGTGGGACAAGAAAATGAGATCTATATAATTCTCAAATAACTGTTTTCTGTGCCTGCGGAGTAAGCCACTTTGATTAAAGATTCAGGCAAAATGGCAGCTTCTCTGGGACTACAGGCACCCGCCACTATGCCCAGCTAAGTTTTGTATTTTTAGTAGAGATGGGGTTTCAACACGTTGGTCAGGATGGTCTCGATCTCCTGACCTCGTGATCCACCCGCCTTGGCCTCCCAAAGTGCTGGGATTACAGGCGTGAACCACCGCGCCCGGCCTTGTTTTTCCAAGAGACAGGGTCTTGCCATTGCCCAGGCTGGAGTGCAGTAATCATAGCTTGAGGTAGCCTTAAACTCCTGGGCTCACGTGATCCTCTTGAGTAACTGGAACTATAGGCGTGTGCCACCACACCTAGTTATTTTTAATTTTTTTAAATTTTGTAGAGACAGGATCTCGCTATGTTGTCCAGGCTGGTCTTGAACTCCTGGGCTCAATCGATCCTCCTGCCTCAGCCTATCAAAATGTTGGGATGACAGGTGTAAGCCACCATGTCTGGCAGGTAGCTTCATTCTGAAATCCCTCTCACCTCGTCTTTAATCTCCTCAGTGGTCTAGGAATCATAATATTTTAAGTCTAGAGAGTGCTTAGATAATACTAGTTTATTCCCTCATTTTACAGATGGGAAAAATAAGTATAAAGCTAGGCTTAAAGTTGTTGGTCCTGAGTTTTTCTCATCTGTAAAATGAGGGGTAGACTGGTTAGGCAGACCCAGGCTGAAGTCAGTGCTTCCCCTTGTCCCCACATCACTCTGAGACAGAGGTGGGAATGGCCGAGCCAATCTGTGCTTGGTAGCAGTGGCAATGCTGTTAGGACAATCTACAGACTTTTCCTTAAAAAGGATTTCAGAGTGGGGTAGTTAAATAAGCTTTGGTGGACCAGAGAGTAAAAATAAAATTTTAAAAATTTTAAATTTTTCCGCCCCCTTACTGCCTCCCTTTTTCGGTTGTGTTTCACACTGTCAGATGGAGTGTGGAAGAAATCCCCCGTCGCCGTGCGCTGGTGATGCAGGCCAAGTGTGTCCTAGAAAGCCGGCGTCCCTCTGGAGCGGCTGCTCCCATTACTGCGGGTCCTGCAGCGAGTCTTTCTAGTCACCGTGAGTGGGTGCGGTGAAGACAAGGGGATTCAGCACCAAAAACACTGAAAGCAGGGCTGGAGGGCTATGCTCTAAATGACGAATCTGCTCTCTGAGGTTGAAAGAACCTGAGTTACTGAATATTGAGGTTGCATTTATTTATTTATTTTTATTTTTTATTTTTTGACAGAGTCTTGCTCTGTAGCCCAGGCTGGAGCACAGTGGCGCAATCTCGAATCACTGCAACCTCTGCCACTTGGGCTCAAATGATTCTCCTACCTCAGCCTCCCGAGTAGCTGGGGTTACAGGCATGTGCCACCACAGCCAGCTAATTTTTGTATTTTTAGTAGAGACGGGTTTCACCATGTTGGTCAGGCTGGTCTCGAACTCCTGACCTCAGGTGATCCACCCACCTCAACCTCCCAAAGTGCTAGGATTACAGGCGTGAGCCACCGTGCCCACCTGAGATTGTATTTTAAAATGAAGGAGTAGAGGAAAAGTCAGTCCACAGTTGTCTTTATTAACTTTGATACAGTATAGACTATTTTATTTTATTTATTTTTTATTTTTTTAGAGACAGAATCTTGCTCTGTTGCCCAGGGTGGAATGTATCAGTGTGATCTTGGCTCACAGCAGCCTCAACCTCCTGGACCCAAGTGATCATCCTAGCTCAGCCTCCCAAGTAGTAGGAATTATAGGTATATGCCACCACACCACCACACCTGGCTAATTTCTTAAAATTTTATTTTTGAAGAGCTGGTGTCTCACTATATTGCCCAGACTGGTCTTAAATTCCTGGCCTCAAGTGATCCTCCCACCTTGGCCTCCCAGAGTGCTAGGATTAAAGGCCACCATACCAGCAGACTATTTTACTTTTGTAAGAAAGAATAGGATGAAGAGTATAGTTCTGGGAAAGGGAGAAATGGCCCAGTATTTTTTAACTTTTTACTTATAACTGAGCATTTTTTATTATTTATTTATTTTTATATTTTATAGAAACGGGGTTTCGCTATGTTGCTCCAGGCTGGCTGGTCTTGATCTCCTGGGCTCAACTGATTCGCCTGCTTCCCAAGTAGCTGGGACTACAGGTGCCATTTTGCCCAGCTACCTTTTTTTTTTTTTTTTTTTAAGAGATGAGGTTTTACTATGCTGCCCAAGTTTGTCTTGAACTCCTGACTTCAAGCCATCCTCCTGCCTTGGCCTTTCAAGGTGTTGGGATTACAGGCATGAGCCACCATGCCCAGCTCCCTTCATTCCTTTTAAAAGGCTCATTCATCTAGAGTAAATTTGAATATGCAAAATATCTGTTTACCTTGTCCAGAAAGATCCACTGTCTTCTGATGTCCAGTTTTGCCATCAAAGAGCTCCATGACGTACTTCCCTTTGTCATTCGGGGTGGGCTCATTGATTTGTAGCCAGATCTGCTCTCCAGTGACCCCGGTCTTAACTCTGTCTGAGTACCTAATGGCGGTCCCACTGTGAAAATCGAAGAAAACTTCCTTAGCGTTTGCTTCCATCCAGGGCTGATCTTTACTTTGTCTCTTATTGAAGCTCTTGCCATAAAGTTTTATAGGCTTGCGAAAAGCGAGGGATCTGCATATGTTATTCTTCTGCTTCAGAAAAATTATGGGCCATGATGACACACAGAACTGGGATTCCAAGGCCCAAGTTCTGACAGTCGGAATAGTTATTTATTAATAACTCCTCATAGCAGTCTGAGGCCCAGGGCAAATCACAATACTAATACTTCTCAGTGGTATTATTATCTTTGTTTTAGTTTGGATTTATTTGTAGGACTAGGGTAATCTATAAAGCTAAAAGGCCAAACTACATATTATTTTACTGCATATTTCATCTAGATAATCTATGGCTGTAAATCAGATTTTACAACTAGTCCAAAAACAACACTTATGGAGGCTCAAGTGGTTGACTAGACCAAATAATTAAGATGCTTATGCTTTGCTGGTCTAATAGCAATTTCCTCAAAACATCCTTTCAGTGTTCTCATTTTTGAACAAGTAATTCTTTTAGAGAAGATATAAAGCTTTTTGATTGATGATTCAATGAATTTTACTTCTCTCACACTTCAGACTGATATATTAGACTGTCCTAGATGTCACAGAGGAATTTCCTGGAATTTGATCTATTTTAGATTATAATGACTTTCCTACAATGTATTCTGAAAGAAACAGAACAAAGGAATAAGCCCCAACATGCTACACTGGAATTTTACCAATTCTCGTTTTTATGACTCAGTTAATAATGAATCATAATACTAGCGAAAACACTCTTTTACATAACAGTAAAGTCATCTTAAAGAAAACACAAATGGCTGCTTTTGTGGCACCTGGCTCTGGCTAACTGTTCAATCCAGCCCAGTGGGCCCCAACCTTTTTGTCACCAGGGACCGGTTTCGTGGAAGACAATTTTTCCGCAGACCAGGTAGCGGGAGGGTTTCGGGATGACTCAAGCACATAACATTGATCATCAGATTCTCACACGGAGCGTACAACCTAGATCCCTCACATGCGCGGTCCACGTAGGGTTCGTGCTCCTGTGAGAATCTAATGCTGCAGCTGATCTGACAGGAGGCGGAGCTCAGGTGGTCATGCTCGCTCCCTCGCCCACCACTCACCGCCTGTTACACAGCCCAGTTCCTAGTAGGCCACGGACTGGTACCCGTCCATGGCCTGGGGTTTGGGGACCTCTAGTCTAGACTTCACGCAGCTGGAATCCAGTGGCAGGTGGTGCCATGATGAACCAGGCTGCCTAGGCTCAGCCTTGACCCACCTCATAGCTGTGTGACCTTAGGCAGGTCACCTCCCCGAGCCCTAGCTTCCTCATCCCTCAAGTGAGGAGCACCTCCCACGCAGAGTGGTGAATGTGAAATGAATTCACATATGTAAAGGGCTTTCAGCAGCGCCCCCCATACTGTCAATGCCCCTGAGGGTACAGTGAGGAAACTTACTATCTGTACCCTCCTGGGGATGCCACAGGACCTTCTTCTCAGTGGGACTCCTAGGAACATTTGCAGTTTGGAACATTTGCATCCTGAGGTTGGACTGAAGGTGGCTACACTCCATCAGATTATCTATGCCAGGCCTCGGTTCTCTTTCAGCTCAGGATATTTCAAGGAAGCACGGAGGTTAAGAACACTGTCAAGAGTGTAAACGGGAGGCCTGGTTTGATTTGGAAACCGATTTCAGCTCTTGGAATCCCAGAAGCGAACTTGAATAGAGTCCCTGTATAACTGCACGGAGGTTCAAACCCACCTTCCCCAAAGTCACCTTGAGCTCTCCAAAGCCTTCTGAGGGTGGACCAGAAACACGCTAATGTCTCACTCTGCCAGGCGCTATAACATCAACAACAATCATCTTGGGCACTCATTGGATTAGGCTTCTTTGGTGGATGCCCACTCATTCATACCGTGGGAAATTAGGTGCCTCCTGGTGCACACTGCTTCATCTCTGTTCCAGACCACAGCATGTGTTAACCGTGTGGATAGAGAGAAGGGTAAGAATGTGGCTCCAGATGCCTGGCACAGCAGAGGGAGCCCAAGCACGACTGTCTGGAGGTGGAGGCTGCGTTATAGAGGTGTCCGTGAATTACGGTACTTCTTCAGTCACAAATGAAGACGTACTGTAACTATTACCGGCCTCAGCACCTACATGTTGAGGGAACGAGCTAACCTCCCAGTAAGAGAATGCCCTGATGGTTCTGTCCTGTGCTCACCAATGTCAGACTTGAGAATCAAGAAGACTCCTTACTTGAGAAGAACATAAAAATGTTTTCCCTATCCTCCTCTCTTCCACTGGAGAAATAATTTCTTCTTCTTTCTTTCTTTCTTTCTCTCTCTCTCTCTTTTTTTTTTTTTTTTTTTTTTTTTTTTTTGAGAAAGTGTCTCATTCTGTCACCCAGGCTGGAGTGCAGTGGTACAATCTCGGCTCACTGCAACATCCGCCTCCTGGGTTCAAGCAATTCTCATGCCTCAGCCTCCCCAGTAACTGGGATTACAGGTATCTGCCACCGCGCCCAGCTCTTTTTTTTTTTTTTTTTTTTGTATTTTTAGTATAGACAGGGTTTCACCATGTTGGCCAGGCTGGTCTCGAACTCCTGACCTCAAATGATCCACCCACCTTGGCCTCCCAAAGTGCTGGGATTACAGGTGTGAGCCACCGCACCTGGCAGGGGAAGAATTTCTACACAGCAAGTAAGCTCCCATTTACTTACTTGTGGGACCAGTTAACTTTCAAATCCTCCACGTAGTAAGTTACAAAAGAGTACAGTCGGATGCCCTCGGCTGTGCTCTGGATTTTGAGGTCTGTAGCAGACAAAGCTGAAAGAAGAAAATAGCATATTTCAAGCATCTGCATGCCCCTCCTTGCAGGAGGATCATAAAGCATTGTTGTGGTGTGAAATGTTTAACTTACCTATTTTTTTGCATACTTCTGTCATCAGTTCCTTAAAGGCTGTGGAGAGAGATTCAGAGCCATGACTTTAGCATAAAAATTCTCAAGGTAAGGTTAAATCTCAAATTCTTAGTTCTCAAAACTTCCCTTTCTGGATGAAAGGAAATGGAAACAAGGTGAATTTCTGGACCCACTGATAATGAGTATTCTTTGAGGAAATTGTTCAGTTTTATCAGGTTTTAAAGGATCCCTGCTTATTTTGATTTTTTTCCCCTTGAATTCTTTGTAACAATCGCCATATTTACATTCTAGAGAAAGGGCCACAAGAGATTTCTAGGAAGGTTCTTGACTTTGGGATTCTCTTTCTTCTCAATTCCCAGGAAGCCTTAGTTTACATTAGAGGACATTTTCTTATCCGTGTCATCGATTCATACTGAATTAACCATGTAGGTCTCCTGGCCTTCGTCAGCCTGATAATGCTTTTTGCCAATAAACACATTTAGCCCCACCTCCGCCCAAAGTAGGAAGGTGAAATTAGTCAGACTTCTGCTGTTTGTTAGCAATATTATTTTTAAAATCTTGTTCAGGAACAAAATTATAAGTTTGGGGGTCCCAGGTAGATTGTCATCATCATGATATATTTGTCCTTAGCAGTCTCTGAAAAATGGAAGTTGCTTTCTTGCTCTGCTAAAAACTGCAAGGCTTCACATTTCATATGTAAATCTTGCTCGCTACCTTTGGAGTGGACTATTTTTTGTCATGCTTCTGACAGAAGTTTTTGAGCCTGGAACATTTTTATAGAGTTGAAACAAAAATGATTTAAATTGAAAACAGACCCCTTGTGGACTCTGGACTATAAATTCTCTAAGGATCAAAAATACACTTCTGATTTCGAAGACGACTAGAAGTGAGGTATTTTTGAATAAAATAGTTCACTCCGCTGGAATTTCACTTAAGCCAAAATCTGTGGACAAAAAAAAGTCAGCATGATTTCAATCGTCAGCTCGGTCTCAGTCATCATTCTGGGAAGCTGTATGCAGAAACACACAAGACAGACGCCAGCGGCTGGTGGACTGACCTTCATCCACAAGCTTCAGTCTGCTCTTATCTTTTCCTCGGTCATCTTTCAGGATAACTTCATAAATCCCAGCATCTTTCTTGGAAAACTAAGGGGGAATAGATATACCACATTGCACCTTTCATAGCCACAGAGCATGGTCTCTGTATTTTTTTTCTTCTGCTGCTTCTTTTTTTTTTTTTTTCGAGACAAGGGTCTCACTCTGTCAGCCAGACTGGAGTGCAGAAGTATCATTATAGCTCACTGTATCCTTGAACTCCTGGCCTCAAGCCTTGGCCTACCAAAAGCCCTGGGATTACAGGTGTGAGCGACTGCACCTGACCTGGTATCTGCATTTTTAAAGGCCCTTGATTTACAGAACTGCGATCAAAACACTCTTTGAATAAGCATCTAACTGTGTGAGTGGTGAACCGCTCACAGATGCAGACATGCACCTCTCCATAATCTGACCAGTGAGCTAGCAGTCCTGACTTTTTACCTTCTGAGGCTGTAACTGATACGAGGCTTAAAGTCCTTACCTTTTACTCTACCTTCATTTATTAAAAACAGTGATCACTAGCTTTATAGTGATATATTTAAATGCCGTGCTTTTTTAAACAAGAAGTAGATAAAAATCTATCGTTAAATGAATACCATGTCTGATGTCTCTGCACTTTTAGGACCAGGAGGCTTAAGTACAAATGAAGAAGGATCCACTTCACTGCCCATATATGGATAAAAGCAACTCAGAAAAGCGAGTTGTGGCATTCAGCTAATACTGGTTTGCTGTCTACCAAATCCACACACGTCACAAGGCTAGAGAAGCTTTTGTGTTCCTACAGCAGTTGGAAGTAAGCTAATATAAATCCCCTGGTCATGAAAGGAATACAGAATCTAGTCACTGTTTTGGGATAAGACAGAGGGTAGAGAGCTAATATATTACATTTTGCATTTATAATCGCCTACCTCTGTTATAAGCAGGGTACATATACCATCCTTAAAGTCGTGCTTTTCATCCACTGATATCTCCCTCTCATCTTTGTACCACACAATATGAGTCTCCTTCTTAATATTTGCCACCTAGGAGCAAAACCATAATTACTTTTTTTAAAATAAGGAAATGTACTCTTGTGAAGTTAAATAGTTCTTAATGCAGCAAGATATGAAAGAAAAAGCACTGAACGTGGAGTGAGAAGACACAGATTTCTAAAGGAATCAATGGAAAGCTATTTTAATTGAGAAAAGAGTTTAGAATCAAGTGGACACCAATAGAATAAACCTAAATCAATAGCATCTCTATTTCCAGCAGTGAAAATTTGACTTTAAAATCATGTGGTAGGAAAGAAAAGGGAGAATAGATACATTTATACTGATATACATACTTAAACGAAAATAGAAATCTCAAAACCAAAGGAAAACAAATCCCATCAGATTAAAATACAGGCTGTGTTAGAAGAACAAATGACTTTATTAAAGGAATGGAATGAGTAAGCCCCAATCTATATCTAAAAATTTAGTAAAAGATAAATGAAGCATTGCAAATATATGTGGAAGGGAGGCATGGATTAATAAATTAATTACTTAGCAATTTTGAGGAGACTCACTTAGATACACTAATCTCCTCATCATGTCATCTATTTCAAATGGACTAAACAACTGCATGTGGTTAAAGGGATCTTGAGCTTTATCTACAATGCTTAATTTTTTTTTTTCCAAAGGAGAATATACTCATGTATTTCTAGACTTCCTACAAATCAAGAAAACTATCTCAAAGACCCCACTGAATAATGGGTGAAAGGTACATACCATTCCCCAAAGAGAAAATACAACTATAAAACCAACAGACAAAGAAAATGTTGTCTCATTATACATGAGAATATACAGTTTTAAAATATGAAACAATTTCAGCTAATAAATAAACATAGGAACCACCCTGGTAACTGCAGTGAAACCACTACACACAATCATTCTTTATGACCCTGCAAACTGGTTCCTGAATTGTAGAAAGTGTGTTGCCAGCTGCCATTGCTTACGATAAAAATGGCCTTGACTGGAAAGCTGCGTCTGAACCTGGAGGACTAGAAATGCACTCTGCAGCTTTGGGCTTTGCTGAGTACATTGCTCTTGAAATGTGGACATAACCCTTGTGTGGATCCCGGAAGTTCTGCTTAGATAGTTGTTACAAGAGATACTAGGTCCTTAGGGCATGAAGGTTTTTAGGTGTTTTTTTTTTTTTTTTTGTCGTGGCCCCTTCTTGCACCTGCCCAAAGTGGATCTTGTCTCCTTGCATCTGAGTTTTCTGTTGTCTGGGATGGCAAAGGTCATAGCTCCACATGTGGACTCCTGAGGGAGAGGAAGGTCCCAGTGTGCAAGCTAGGGTTCCGCCTGTGTTCGTTGTTGTTTTGTTTTGTTTTTTTTGTTTTGTTTTTTTTTTTTTGAGACAGAGTCTCACTCCATCACCCAGGCTGGAGTGCAGTGGCGTCATCTTGGCTCACTGCAACCTCAGCCTCCCAGGTTCAAGCGATTCACCTGCCTCAGCCTCCCAAGTAGCTGGGACTACAGGTGTCCGCCACCATGCCTGGCTAATTTTTGTATTTTTAGTAGAGACGTGGTTTCACCATGTTGGCCAGGCTGGTCTCGAACTCGTGACCTCAAGCGATCTGCCTGCTTTGGGCTCCCAAAGTGCTGGGATTACAGGCGTGAGCCACCGCGCCCAGCCCCTCTGTTTTTTTGAGTAGACTAGCGCCAAGCAAGACCCACCATTCTCTTGTGAGTCTGAATGATTAGCTGAGCATACTCCAGGAACTGTATGCCACATGTGAGGGGCCAAATTTACAGGAATTCCACAATAATGGAACAAAGAGCTATGGGGAGACGGAGGGAGCGGGAGACCTTCTAGAGATGACTGTGCTGGGCCTGGAAAGGATTTTGTCAGAGAAGCTGAAAGAAGGTCATTCCAGGCATTGGAAAGACAGCGTAAGCACAAACTGTGTGAATATTCACAACCCATTTCCAGGCTGCCCTTGGTTGCTCAGAATCTGGGAATGGGGCTGACTCTCCTGAGGAAGGCCATCACAGGACACCAGAGCTCCTCTGCAGAGGGCCACAGCAAGCGCAGAAGGTGAGGGATGTGTGGGCTTTTGAAAAGGGATGGTTTATAGGGAGGGGCCATGTGGATGAGGAAGTGAGTCGGGGCAGCTGGGATAAGACAGAAGCTGAGGGCTTCAGCTGCTGCCTGAGAAAGAGTTTTTCAAGCAGCGTTGCCATTTCCTGTGAGGCTAAAACCTAGAATTGATTTTCCTTATATGTATTTCTGATAGACTGCTGTTTCTTTGAGTTTATCAGATCTAGTAGACACTGTTGGGTTCTGGGTTTTATCATGACAATCGTGAAATCCACACCAAATGCCACACCTACGCTACCACTTGTCCTTGTCAGCCAGCAGGACCTTCACGCTCCTGCTCCAACCTCACCCACCAGTTCCTTACCCGAAACATTTCTGATGACTCACTCAGCTACACACCACAAGCTAAAGTACAAACTCGTTTAGAATGCTATATAGAATTTTTTTTCCTGAATATTTTCGAAGTCCTAATAAGACAATTGGTTGTGAGCTGCCAACTCTTCTCCACATCTCTCCCTCAAGCCAGCATAGGGGCTCGGAGTCAGTGGCACAGCTGAGGAACACCCAGGGGTATTGTTGCGCCAGCCTCACAATGTACTTCGCAAGGTCCACGAAACACTGCAGCTAGAGTGACTCTGGAATAGGTCTATGACTTAGAACACAGATTTGGCTTAAGACAAAAACAATGTGAGAGTCTTTGGAGATGCCTAATTAGATAAAGGTCTAGGGTCTTACTAACTAGGTCATTAGTAGTGACTAGGAATGATCACCTTGCCTTCTCATATTTTATGTCGTTTTATTTTAAATCTTTCTTATCAACAGATGATTACAGTAACATTCAACAGTAAATATGTGTCCTCCTTATCATTTTGGCTCAGATGGAAGAGATGAAAAATTGATCTTCCTCTTCTCTACATTCTATTTCCGTTAAATCAAATATCAAAAATTTATCTATCTCTTACCTTGCATTTCAATAGTACATTACATTCACCAGTCACTTCCCAGCTCAAATACTCAGCAAAGTGAGGACCTATAAAATTTTAATGACATTAGCAATTACTCTATTAATCACAAATGCAAAATCAAAGCTCACACTTAAGTCCTAAGGTGATTTACGTCTGAAGTCAAATTTTTAAAATTCTAGATTTAGCTTTTAAAGATTTTAATGTCTACATATTTAACTGTACATATTTTCAATTATTTTAATTTATTAGGCATTATTAACATAATAATATTCATTTTAATTTGTTATGGAAATAACCTTAGAATATTTTCTACAAAAAAATTAAAATATTTCTCTTTATCCACTGCCTATTTTTACCTTGTTTCCTGATCCATTCTTGCCGCTGGAATTCAGCTTCTTTCTGGAGCTTTTTGAAAACTACAAATTGAAAAACAAGGAAGTGTGAAATTGAGTTGGGTGGTATAAATGCATATGTCAGCTACCACCCCTAAGTGATTTATATTCATTACTGTAACACTCATACATTGTGACAACCCTGCTCATTTTTAATCTTTATAGATGAAGAAATAGGCTTAGGAAGGTTGAACAAATTGTACAAGGTCATAAAGCTAGGAAACAGTGAAATGATATTGGATGTTGCAAACACAGAGCTCTGGCCAGCCTTTCCATTGCCTTTGTAACTGCCACATTTTAAATCTGGGTGGCAGGAAGGGAGCAGCTGATTTACTACAATCTAGTTACAATGGATGATTAGTAGATTCACAATGCACTACTTTTGCATATTTTTATTCTCAATTTTAGTAATTTTTAGTAAGTACACATGGCAAAACAGCATCATGGTTTGTTTCTGAGACACATACCGTCTTTGTTGTATTGCAATCTCCCTCACTGGAGAATTTGAGCAATCAACATTTGTTTATATATGAAAGTATTTAAATGCAGTCTTGCCTGTGGGCTAGGGATAAATTTGGTGTTCTTTTAAATTAACTTTCATTTCTATGAAATAAAATACCATGTAAGGTATTAACTGAAAACTGTATTTTTTTTTTTTTTTTTTTTTTTGAGACAGAGTCTCACTCTGTCGCCTAGGCTGGAGTACAGCGGTGCGATCTTGGCTCACTGCAACCTCTGCCTCCTGGGTTCAAATGATTCTCATGCCTCAGCCTCCCAAGTAACTGGGACCACAGATGCATGCCACCACACCTGGCTAATTTTTGTATTTTTAGTAGAGGCGGGGTTTTACCATGTTGGCCAGGCTGGTCTTGAACTCCTGACCTCAGGTGATCCGCCCACCTGGGTCTCCCAAAGTGCTGGGATTATAGGCATAAGCTACCGCGCCCAGCTGAAAATTGTATTTTGAACATTAGAATTCAATTAAGAAACAATTCAAATGACAACTTTTGTGCCATGAGGTATTTGGATTGAAGGGAGTAGCAAAGCCTGCTGGTTAATGTTCCACGGAATTCTTACCATCTCCAATGAGAACAACAGTAGAATGGTTAGTTGCTTTTCCGTCTTGAAGCTGGAAAGTGTACGTTCCCTCATCCTCATCCTGTAGTTTCTCCATGAACATTTCAATGATGCCAGTGTTTCGGTCAATATGCATTTTATATTTCTTCAGTGTGAAAAGAAAATGACAGAGAAATCACTGAGACAGATATTTTACTTGGATGACAATAAGCTTGATGAAATAAAAATAAACCCCAAAGAATAATAATTTTAGGCTAGGTGCAGTGGTTCATGCCTGTAATCCCAGTACTTTGGGAGGCTGAGGTGAGGATTGCTTGAGGCCAGAAGTTTCAGAATAGCCTGGGCAACAAAGCGAGACCTTGTCCATATAAAAATAGAAAAATAGCTGGGGCACAGTGGCTCACACCTGTAATCCCAGCACTTTGGGAGGCTGAGGCGGGCAGATCACCCTGAGGTCAGTAGTTTGAGACCAGCCTGATCAATATGATGAAACCCCATCTCCACTAAAAACACAAAAATTAGCCTGGTGTGGTGGGGTGCGCCTGTAATCCCAGTTACTTGGGAGGCTGAGACAGGAGAATTGCTTGAACCCGGGAGGCGGAGGTTGCAGTGAGTTGAGATTGCACCACTGAACTCCAGCCTGGGCAATAAGAGCAAAACTCCGTTTAAAAAAAAAAAAAAAAAAAAAGGAAAAATTAGCCGGGCATGCTGGTGTGCAACTTTAATCCCAGGTACTCAGGAGGCTGAGATGGGAGGATCTCTTGAACCCAGGAGGTCGAGGCTACAGTGAGCCATGATTGTGCCACTGCCCTCTAGCCTGAGCAACAGAAGGAGACCATGTCTAAAAAAAAATTAAACATTAAAAATTAGAGTAATAATTTAAATAAAATTTCTTCATAACTGAACAAGTTCTTCATATTCTTATACCCAGGAAAAGGGAAATATTATGTGGAGTTTTTGATCTAGACCAGAATAGATTACTAAAAAGTCTGAAATTTAGTTTCTTAAATCTAAATAAAGTTTTGTTACCCCAAGACACAAAATGTCAAAAAGTTGTCTTTAGACTCTCACATTACCTTCCAGATTACATTTTATTTATTTATTTATTTATTTATTTATTTATTTATTTATCTAGAGATGGATTCTTGTTCTGCCACCCAGGCTGGAGTGCAGTGGTGCAATCTTGGCTCACTGCAACCTCTGCCTCCCAGGTTCAAGTGATTCTGCTGCCTCAGCCTCCTGAGTAGCTGGGACTACAGGTGTGTGCCACCATACCCAGTTAATTTTTGTATTTTTAGTAGAAACGGAGTTTTACCATGATGGCCAGGCTGGTCTTGAAGTGCTGACCTCAAGTGATCTACCCACCTCAGCCTCCCAAAGTGCTGGGATTACAGGCATAAGTCACTGCTCCTGGCCTACATTATTTTTAATGAGTAGAATAAAACTATAGGCAGCAGAGGCAGGTATCTTGCTTATTTATCACTATCTCCTTGGCATCTTGCACATGCATGGTATATAGTAGTCAATTAATAAATATCTGCTGAATTAATACTTGAAAAAAATGCTTCTAAATCTATTTACTCTCTCTTTTTTTCTCTTGTTAGAGACAGAGTCTCTGTTGCCCAGGCTGGAGTGCAGTGGTTCAATCATAGTTCACTGCAGCCTCAAACTCCTGGACTCAAGCCTCAGGCCTCAGGCTCTTGAGGCTAGGACTACAGGCACACACCACCATGCCTCACCAATTTTTAAAAAGTTTTTGTAGAGATGATGCTTCGCTATGTTGCCCAAGCTGGTCTCAAACTCTGAGCCTCAAGCAATTTCCCTGCCTCAGCCTCCCAAAATGCTGGGATTACAGGTGTGAGCCACCATGCCTGGCCCTATTTGCTCTTAATGAATGGATATAGCCCTATTAGACTATACTTATTTTATCATATTGTTTAGACAAATTTTTTTCCCCAGAATGTAAAGATAAGTTTTAGTCACTGGGCATGCAAGCACAAATTCCATGATAGATTTGAATTTGTTAACTTTTGCTATATATAAACTATCACAGAATGAAGGCTCAGGCCTGGGATGAACTCTGTGATGCAATTCATGCTCCCAAGCCTCCCCTGCAGGAAGTCAGTCTCCAACTGAGATCACATTTTTGCTGAGCATCCCCCTATCCTATCCTGCTCCCCAACAATAAATCATTTGAATGAGAAACAACTTCAGACTCTCTTTCTAAGAAACTTGACTTAAGAGAGCAGGTGCATACTCTCAAGGCAACACATGTGCACGCTTGAACACATGAAGGGGAGTACATCTATATGCACTATGCATGAATGTTCACTCAATGACTGTGGGGTGATGGGTGAGGCCAACAACACTTTTCCTTCCTCTCCCCTGGCCAGGTGGTGATCACAGCAGTTGAGGGAACATTTTGAAAGTGGAGAGGAGATGGGTCGCAGTGGACACAGGAGTCAGGAGTGACTTGTTCTGCCCCACAGCAAGTCACTCTAGGCACTGGGAAGGACTACGCTGCATACTCTCCTAATATTCATGGTACCCGTTTCCCTCTCACTAACAAGTCCTCAAATGTTTTAAAAATACATCTCAGTGAAAAGGGAAAGGGTTGCTAACAACAGTCACAAACCACACCACCTCTGCCCTTTCAGTTTCCCATTTACACCCATGATAGCACAGGTGATGGTCAGAGCCCCTGAACCCCCAGTTCTTCAGTACTACTGGGCACTGGCCTGATCTTGACTTGACTGATGTCTGTGGAGAAGACAAATAAAGCTTAGATGTTGTAGCTCTATAAAAATGATGCTTACGTTAAAAGGAAAGGAAAGAGTATTTTATATATATATATATGTAACTACCTATGTAAATATGACACAGACATACACACAGAGAAGCATAGAAAAATGTCTAAAAAAGTATATACCACTATGTACATCAAAAAGCCATTAGAAGTGTTACAGCTCTTTTAGAATCTGTCTAGCAGGCTTTCCGGTTTTTGCTGGAAAGACCCCCAGCACTGCCACCAAATTAAGAAAAGCCGTAAGAATGTGCGATTAGCCCTTTCTGAGTCTTTAATGCTTTTTACAATAAGGATGTATTGTGTTTTTAACCAGAAAAGCAATGAAAGGTATTTTATTGAATTTTTCAGAGCCATTAGGACAAGAGGCCTGTTCTTCATATAACGAATCAAGTCCGTGCTGAGGTGTCCAGTGTGAGTATGATGTGAATTCAGGCAAGGGTGTGGGCTCCTCTGCCTCCCAGGACAGCCTCTCTGTTTTCATGGGTGATCATACATCTCGGTTTGCCTGAGACAGTTTTGGTTTATGACTGTTTATGACTGTTGTCCTTTCATTCTCAAAGCATCCCAGTTTGCATAATATGATATAGTCAATCTGTATTTTCATTTCACAGTTTTCACTTGTGAGAAGGATTTAAACTCACCCACTCCACCACCCAGCGGTTTTTATAACAACATATCCACATCCACATAAGGCTTCCTCAGTGTATTCTACAATGATACATTAAAAAGGCTAAACAGTGTAAAACCTACCGGGCCTTCAAAAATTTCCTTCTCGTTAAATATGTAGTTGACTTTGGCATTGCCAGATAGCTTCTCAGCCTGCATCCAAAACCGGACCTGGCCCTTCTCCAAAATTTCAACTGCCAACTCTGATTTCACTGGGACAGCTATGAAAAGCAAAAATAAACACAGTAATTATATTGCTAACCAATTATATTGGTACTCATTTTCCAACAAGTGAAAAAAAAAAAACAAAAAAAAAACAGGCAATGGAAATGACAATGTAGCACCTGCTTCTTGCAAAGCCCAGAGACAGTGAGAGTTGCAGGGAAAGGCTTAAAGACAGAGGGACTCAGCTCTGATGCTGGGACTGTCACTTAGAGCAAGTTGTTCATCCTCTTTGAATCATTAGTTGTCTCAACTGTAAAAATGAGGAAGATGAACTTATCTCTAGGGGCATGGGGCAATTGTAGTCAGTATCTCTAACTTTCTACTGAGGCTTTTGGTTGGTGTTTTTCTTTTTTTTTTTTTTGCAACAGGTTCTCGCTCTGTTGCCCAGGCTGGAGTACAGTGACACGATCTCGGCTCATTGCAACCTCTGCCTCCTGGGTTCAGGTGATCCTCTCACCTCAGCCTCCTGAGTAGCTCACACAACAGTCATGTACCACCACACTCGGCTAGTTTTTTTTTTTCTTTCTTTTATTAGACAGGGACTCATTATGTTGCCCAGGCTGGTCTTGAACTCCTAGCCTCAAGTGATCCTCTCTCCTTGGCCTCCCAAGGTGTTGGGACTATAGGTGTGAGCCACCTCATCTGGTTGGCAGGTGTTGTATTTTAATTTAGAAGCTTCCTAAACTTATGTCAAATGTAAATTCATATTTCTTTATATTTATTTTAAAACTACCCTTTTCAAGTTTCAAGGGATGCTTTTCTTTGCATTATTCCATATTCACTAGCAAGTTCAGTGTGATAAATTCATTCCAATGCAGGACTGAGAGGGGGCTCAGATGTCATCTATCGAGGGGGTTTCAAGGCAGAGAGAAAGTAGGTTTTGGAGTCCCACCAAGATCTGGACCAGCTACTCTCCTCCTTTAGTTCTTGTGTCCCTCACCTGCTAACATGGATGTACTATGAAGAGTAAATATAAGGCCGGGCATGGTGGCTCACACCTGTTATCCTAACACTTTGGGAGGCCGAGGTGGGCGGATCACTTGAGGTCAGAAGTTTGAGATCAGCCTGGCCAACATGGTGAAACCCCGTATCTACTAAAATTACAAAAATTAGCCAGGCATGGTGGTGGGCGCCTATATCCCAGCTACTCCGGAGGCTGAGGCAAGAGAATTGCTTGAGCCTGGGAGGCAGAGGTTGCAGTGAGCCAAGATCGCACCACTGCACTCCAGCCTGGGCAACAGAGTGAGACTCTGTCTCTAAAAAACAAACAAACAAACAAACAAACATAAATATAGTAAGAGAACATATTAAGGTACTGTGAATAGTGGTCTGTGTTCAAGAAGGTTGGTTCTCTTCCTCCCCTCACTTTACTGATCTCTTTACAAAATCTCAACTGCACCCCAGGAGACAGTGGTAACACGTCTGGGTGGTGGAGCTGAGAGCAGGGTCACTCCATCTCTTCTGTATTCCTCTTGGTCCTGGTTGTCCACACGGTGGTTTTCCAGTGTGAGCAGGATGTCTGAGTGCACCAGGGCGGCAAGGGCAGAGGCTAAGCTTCTCCCTTGCAGGACATTCATGCTTGCTAAAAGTAAGTCTTGAGGAGAGTAGAAAGTACAATTTCTTCTAAAAATATCTGGAGACCTCATTCTAGGAAACTTACTATGTGAGTGAAGAGGTTACCTAAGATGCCCAGAGTGGTGAGGGAGGAGGAGGAACAGGCCCTCCTGGAAGCCTCCAGCTCCCTTAATGTTCACTGTCCTCCCTGAGTCCTGAGAACATCGTCTGGGGAATGCTGGCCACCTTGAATGTCCACGGGGGCATGGAGCAAAAGTGGCCATGCATACATAGAGACAGCCCATGTCACAGTCAGGGGAGCAGGCTCCAGAGGCAGACCACCTGGGTTTCACCAGCTGTGTGCAAATGATCTAGTTACCTAACCTCTCCAGGCCTCATGTTCTTCCCCTCTAAAATCAAATCAGCACAACACCAACCCTTTTAAGGTAATTGTGGAATTCAAATAAATATATCCTGCTTAACAACTCTATAGAAAGCCTGGCATATAATAAATGCTCTATTAACGGTGGCTGTTAATAGTTTGGTATCTCTTTCCTCCTCTAGTTGCTTCTACAACACCCTGGAAACACCTTTTTCTTTTTTTCTTTTTTTTTTTGAGATGGAGTCTCACTCTGTCTTCTAGGCAGTGGCGTGATCTTAGCTCACTGCAACCCCCACCTCCCGGGTTCAAGCGATTCTTGTGCCTTAGCCTTCAGAGTAGCTGGGATTACAGGTGACAGCCACCACACCTGGTTAATTTTTACAACCACTAATTTTAGAATATAATATGTTGACACCTAAGAGGACACACCAACATATCTATATTTATATATATGTGCTTGTGCATGTCTCCCCACATATAGTGCATGTATACAAGAGGGGTAACAACTGGTGTCTGCAAACGAAAGGCCATTATGCAGCATGCTGAGAATACCAAAGTGTACCCTCCCCCTACTCCCCCAAAATACCTTGAATTCTGGGTGTATGGATATATATTCAAATAAGCTATCTTTCCACACTGCAATTTAGTATCAATACTGGCAAGATAGACTAAGTCGCTTTCTATTTTTAGCTTTGTGCATTTTTATTTTTTCCATTTACTCAGCTCTAAATTTCCTTAGGCTCTTTTCTCTGGCAGTTAATGTGCCTCAGCAAAATATGTTATTTGTAGGTTTAAGGCACATGTTTAGTGGTTTTCAAAATATTTTTGAAAACAGCTTAAAATAGGAGAATTTACTGTGCCAAAGGATAAAGGAATACCATACTCGTTATTACATTCTCTAAGAAATAAGACAGTTTAAAACTTTACAAAATCTCACGAAGACAGCTTCATCAACATGCCAGCGGTTACAAAGATGAAGTGGCTATGAATCAATAAATCGCATGTGCTACTTTGATCCTATCACCAGGCCTCTGAAAATATTCACGTTGTGACCTCATTGGTCTCAGAGTGGTAGGGAAAGAAAAGAGCGGGTGCTATAGTATTGAAAAATGTGCTTCCTTGGGTTAACCAAAACACCCTTGGGTTGGGGGCTTTGATATTTGCATGTCAGAGTTTGTTATTTTGTGATTTTTACATTTATTTTTTGTGACAGTTTCTCACTCACCCAGGCTGAAGTGCAGTGGCATAATCACGGCTCACTGCCGCCTCCAACTGCTGGGCTCAAGTGATCCTCCTGCCTCAGCCTCCCGAGGAGCTGCTGCCATACCTGGCTAATTTTTGTATTTTTGTAGAGATGGGGTTTCACCACGTTGCCCAGGCTGGTCTTGAACTCCTGGGCTCAAGTGATCCTCCCGCCTTAGCCTTCCTAAGTGCTGGGATTACAGGCATGAGCCACCTTGCCCAGCCACATGTCAGAGTTTTAATCAGTCTCAGGTTCTCCCTACCAAAAGGCGACACTGGGTCTCTAATAAAAGGATACCTGAGTTTGCTGCTACCCTCTCTCTTAGCACCAATAATCAGAGTTCTTAGGCTTATGCAAGATAAAATATCTCAGTATAAATGATAATGACATCAGGCAATGCCTACTGTCTGGATTAATTCTGGCATGATCTCAGCTCATTGCAACCTCTGCCTCCTGAGTTCAAGCGATTCTCCTGCCTCAGTCTCCTGAGTAGCTGGGGTTACAGGTGCCCGCCACCACACCTGGCTAATTTTTTGTATTTTTAGTAGACATGGGGTTTCACCATGTTGGTCAGGCTGGTCTTGAACTCCTAACATAGTGATCCACCCACTTTGGCCTCCCAAAGTGCTGGGATTACAGGCATGAACCACCGCACCCCACCCTCTTACAGCATTTCTACATAGTAGGTGCTATAAAGCATTGTGATAGCCATTCCTGCAAAAGAAACCAAGGCACAGAGAAATAAAAGTGAGCTGCCCAGGCACACAGCTCGAGTCAAAAGTCCAGAACAAAGAGAGTCCAGGCCAAACACTTTGCTGTGATCTGATCTATTCCAGAAGTTGCTGCCTAGTGAGACTGCTCAAATCTGTGTATGTATTGTGGATACTTACTTGGGAACTTGTGTTCATGGCTGAGAGCAAGTAAACGTTTCAATTCTGTAGGGGGAGAAAGAAAGCAATTAAACCTTAAACTACTAAAATAAAAACCAATTAAGAATAATCGAGAAATCAAAGCAACATTTGACTTGTGAATGCATTGATTTTAAACTTACCTTCCTCATCTATTAAGTAGCTTGATGCTATTCCATCAGTGTCTGTTACATCGCAAGAGTAAATACCCAAGTCGTCCATCCCAAGGTCTTTGAAGGTCATTTTCGTCCTTCGGAACAAAATATTTTTCTTAGAAATGAGGGTGTGTGGGATCTGTGGGCCTGTGTTTCCCCTGATTCTGGGCAGTTGTATATGTTACTCCTTTCATCTGGACACCTCCTCTCATCTCGCTGAGCTCCAGCCTACGTGTTCTTGGTGTCTCAGGTTCAATGCCATTTACTCTGGGAGGACTTGCCTTACCTCCTTCCAGGGGGTGATGGTGACAAGGGAGTGGAACTGGCAGAAATCCCACATGCCCAAGCTATGTTGCTTATCAGTGCACATCCTGCAGAAAAATATCCAGCTGAGCAGCCCCTGCTGGGAGCCAGACACTTCCCCAACCAAGGGTAGAACCTGCTGTTGGTAACTCTGGGTGCCTCTCCTATGCCATCTCCTGCTCTCCCCTTTTCTGAACTTATTATAAGCATCTGTATTCTCCCCAGTGTATAATCCCTGTGCCTTCAGAGACAGGAACTGCTTTGTTTACTGTGTTATCCTCAGCACCCAGTACCTTGTCTGGCACATAATATGTGTAATAAGTAAATGAATGGCTCAGTGGGCAAGTTCATTGCGTTTTCTAACTTTGGCAAGCTATATTGCTAGGCAGTGTCTAAGACCAACCAAATATTGAAATGTTAAGTGCACAAACTGGGAGAAAAATTTATCGTTCAATTATCTTTTCTTGGGGCAAATGTGTTTCATGTCAAGAAATTTACAGCATAGGGGCAGAAAAAGTCCTTTAATTATATTCAGTATTTCCTTGTCATTCTACAACAAAATTGCTAGTTTTTTCTTTGATTTCTGAGATATACTGGGCTTCATTGTAATAGAAAAAAGTACTTAGAAAATACTGTGCTTTATCAAATACTTTGCTTTATCATATGAATCCAATGTGGTTGACACTATGAAAATATAAAGCTTCGTAAGCTTTTGCTATAAAGCAAAGTAAAAAGAACACTCAAAATCTTGGTGTTGAAAGGAAATGACAGATCACACAATTCCTCCATTCTCCCCACTCTCATTTTATAGAAAAAGAAATCTGAGGTTTGTGGAAGTTAAATAGCTGCCCAAGGTTATACAGCCAGCTCCTGGTAGAGTTGGGCCTAGAACTTTTCCATGTTGTACTTCCACATAGAGCTTTCTTCCCATGTACTATTGGCTCACTCATGAGTGATGGTGAAAAAAGCAGAAGAGATTATCCTCAAACCATTTAATTTACCATAACTTGAACCAGCAGGTTCTTCCTAGCCCCCTACAAGTATCCTCATCATTAAGATTTCCAAATTTCACAGATAATGAGAATCATCTTTAAAGCTGATCTTTATGTCAATCGAATGTTTCTAATAGCATAAATGAGATAAATAAGAAAGAACTTTAAATGGAATAAGTAAAAAGTATTTTAGAAGGGTTATTATTATTATTTTATTTTATTAGAGACAGGGTCTCACTATGTTGCCCAGGTTGGTCTTGAACCCCTAGGCTCAAGTGATCTTTCTGCCTCAGTCTCCTGAGTGGCTAGGATTTCAGGTGTGAGTCAATGAGCCAGTCTAGGATGATTATTTTTAAGGTTTAAGTTGGTTATTATTTTCTACAATACCAGATATAAAATATATGTGACTTCATCCTCTTATTCCAAGCAATTTAAGTGGAAATCAAGGAGCTCACCTCATTCTCCTACAGTGAAAAGGAAACCCATGATTGTGATTGACATAGTCCTTACTTGTTGCCCTTGCTTTCGACTTCTAACCGTGGAGAGTCCTCAGTGGATACATAATCTTTGGACCAGGTGAACTCGGACTTTGGAGTCATCTGATCACACTCGAAGTTCAATGAAATGACTCCATCATCATCCACATTTACAACAACCTCTTTGGTGCCTACAAGATCAAAAAGAAGGTACTGATACTTCATGGAGGAAAGCAACCAAGTAAGAATTTGTTGCCTTGAGATCTTTTACTTTAGCCCTAAAGTAGGGCCCTGAGCCCAGGTCAAGGAAAAGTTTCACTGCTCATGTGAAGGGACAGTCCTACTCTACAATTTGGCTTTTATGCCATAACACGAAATCTGATGGTTGTACCATGTTTCTTAAGTAGAGTCAACACCATGGACAGTAGTGTTTGTTATGTGACTGATGGTATAGTTATGGGAGCGGTTTGATTGCCATAAGGAGACAAGGCAGCTTTGGGAAAAGGGAAAGTCAATTGATTTTGATCAGGCCCTAATTCATGACTTTTGTTTCAATAATATCCACATGCAATCAGTCATCAGGAAAGGGCAGAGATGAAGAACCCAAAAGGAAATTGAATGGGAGAAAGTGGAGAAACTAAGAATCCCCTATATTCACGTATTCAAAGTCTTTAAGTCATTTAAGAGTGGAGAAATATATGGATGCCTGCTCTGTGGATCACATAACCATAAATCAATTTAAAGATGTCCCTCTAGACTAGAGTGATAGCAACTGAGAAATGACTATTATTGAACTGCATGGAAATTTAAATGGAAATGAGTTTCAAGAGATTCAGCTCTTTCAAGAAGATTGGTTTTTGGATTTAAAAAAACCAATTCAGTTAGTGTTTTGAGTTATTCTATTTTTGAGAGTTATAATAAATTGCACCTGCACCTAATAGAGATTTCTAGGATAATTTGTATAGCATATGAAACATTCACATCTATTCCTAAATCCAGTTGAAAGGAGTAAAATGCTCTACTCAGATTTATACTCATTCAATTGCCAGTCTAAACTTCGTTTGTTTCAGTACATTAGGAAAAATATATTAAAAAAATAAAAATAATATACAGTTTGTTTCAGTACATTAGGAAAAATATATTATATTCAATCCCAGAAAAGTACAGCTGTATTTTTTTAAAAAGCATAAAAAAACTTCCAAAAGAATTGAATGTTTTCTCTCTAGATTGTATCATAAGAGGCCAACATCCTGGCCTACTGTCCAATAAAACTTGTTAGTGGAAAAAAAATTGCAAACGTTTTCCCAAGGGAAGGCCAAGACGAAACCAGTGCCTAAATGGTGCCTGGCAGGATGATCTTGGTTCCTGAGTCTGACAGTTGATCTAACTTACGTCCGTACAAATGGCAGTGTATGCTTCAACTATAAATTTCCAAAAAGTGATTGTTAGCACACGCAAAGCTTAGAGAAGAAAATTTTTAGAAAATTTTTTAAAATTCCTTTTTCTTAAACAAAGGGCTACTTTCATATTTGGTTACCTAGATAAACTGAAATAACAATCAATTAAAGAAGGCTTAAGGATTCCTTAAGTTAATTGTCTGCCATATGTTACTTTTAAAGGGCTATATGTATTCCATTGCAAGTTGCAGCCCACATTTTATTTCTGTTCCTGATAACACATGACTAATCCTCACGCTCTAGTTTCGTATAATATTGAACAAATGCTCTTATTAAAACTTAAGAAAAGGCTAACACTGAAGAGTGTTGACTGTATTATAATATACAGTTTGTGTGACTGAGTAACAGAAAGAATGCAAACAGAAATTTTTGTATATCTGTGTTGTTACAGAGAGAAAAGAAGTGAGGTAATCTTGCTTTTTGCATAATCTCTATTTTGGAAGCATGACAGATTGCTCATATTCATCATTCATTGTTCTATCTGTAATCTCTTTTTAAAAGGAAGTGAATCATCCATATGCTTGCTGTTTATTACATTAGAGGTATGACAAGTTTACAACAAAAATATTGCTTATTGATTGTGAAAGATTTTTTTCTGAAAACAAAATAACCACAAAACAGAAAGAATATGAACAATTTAATCAGCTTCGCCATTCTCTCAATGCTGTAGATAACTTTTGTATTGTAACACCTTACCCATTTGGAACACTGCCCAAAACCAAGAAATAAGGAAAATAAGCCTCTAATACCAGTTCTGATGTGACAAAGTCCACATGCTAGTATGCTGCACACTCACCAGAGAAGTGGAATCCCTTTTTTTTTTTTAAAACAGGGTCTCACTCTGTCACCCGGGCTGGAGTACAGTGGTGTGATCTTGCCTCACTGTGGCCTTGGCCTCCCAGGTGATCCTCCCACCTCTGCCTCCCAAGTAGCTGGGATCATATGCACATGCCACCACACCCGGCGAACTTTTTTGCATTTTTTGTAGAGACAGGGTTTCGCCATGTTGGCCAGGCTGGTCTCAAACTCCTGAGCTCAAGTGATCCACCCGCTTTGGCCTCCCAAAGTGCTGGGAATACAGACATGAGCCACTGTGCCCAGCCTTGGAGTCTTTCTATACTTTGCTTGAGACAATTCTAACAAACCTAGTTGGTTGGTTTCCCTCAGTAGATTAAAAAAAAAGAGGGAGGTAAGAAGCTACTATGAGCAGGAGCATTGAGAATAAAGAAAATGACAGCAAGAGAAGATAGAGATAAACTAAAAAGTAGGCACAAAAACATTATTTACTATAGGGGCAGATAGTTTCTCACCCCGTAACAACACTGCTGTATCACAACACTGTGTGTTAAATAAAGGTGATACTTAAACGGCTCTAAGTCACAGAAAACGGTAAATAAGATTCAGTATACTGCATCCAAGAAGGATGAAAAGCACTTATTAAATTGCATAATTTATTTTAAAGGGATTTTCATCAGAAAGTCTTAAATGAAATTTTAAAGTATTAATGTTTTAGCGGTAAACCCTCAGGCAAATGGAACAAATGGTCATCTAAAATAATAATTTGTTCAGGTTTTTGAATGGCCAAATTTGGTCCCAAACCCATGAAACTTGGAGAATAAGAAAATTCTAGCCAGGCATGGTGGCTCATGCCTGTAATCACAGCACTTTGGGAGGCAGAGGCAGAAGGATCACTTGAGGCCAGGAGTTTGAAACCAGCCTGGCCAACAAGGTGAAACCCCATCTCTATTAAAAACATAAAAATTAGCCAGGCGTGGTGGCGCATGTCTGTAATCCCAGCTACTTGGGAGGCTGAGGCACAAGAATCACTTGAACCTGAGAGGCAGAGGTTGCAGTGAGCTGAGATCACACCACTGCACTCCAGGCTGGGCAACAGAGCAAGACTCTGTCTCAAAAAAAAAGAAAGAAAGAAAATCCTGTTTAGTTTTTGTCTCAATTGCCTCAGTTACTGAGCAAAGAATATAGAGCTGAATCACTGAAGTGCAGTCGGTCCTTCATATCTATGGGTTCTGCAACCGTGGATTCAACCAACTGTGGATCGAAAATACTTGGGGAAAAAACAATAAAAATAACAATGCATCAATAAAAACAATGCAAATTAAAAAACAATACAGTATCCCAACTCTTTACATAGTATTTACGTCGTATCAGGTATTATAAGTAAGCTAGAGGTGATTTAAAGTATAAAGGAAGATATCTGTAGGTTATATGCATACACTATGCCATTTTATAAAGGGACTTGAGTGTTCCTGGATTTTGGTATCCACAGGGGGTCCTGGAACCGATCCCCCAGGATAAAGAGGTATAACTGTATTCTGAAAAATAAACTTTGTAAAGCATTTCAAAATCTTTTGTGAAAATATGAAATTAAACAAAAGATGTTGCTTATTTGCCTTTTTAAATAAGAGATGTTATTTTTAGGTTCCAAGCCACATCTGTGTTTCAACTTCAACCTATGAGTCGTACATCATTACCTTATAGTTGAGTTGTAACATAAGAAATGGGATCATTTATACTTTTAGAAAAGAGTGTGGAAATTTTTTCAAAGTCTTACATTAAAAATTATAATTTAAAATTAGGTAATTGGCTGGGCTCACTGGCTCACACCTGTAATCCCAACACTTTGGGAGGCCAAGGTAGGAGGATTGCTTGAGCTCAGGAGTTTGAGACCAGCCTGGGCAACAAAATGAGACTCTTTATCTACAAAAAAAAAAAAAAAAAAAAAAAAATTTAAATTAGTAGGGTGTGGTGGCTAACACCTGTAGTACCAGCTACTAGGGAAGCTGAGGTAGGGGGATCACTTGAGCCTGGGAGATGGAGGCTGTGGTGAGAAATGATCATGCCACTGCACTCCAGCCTGGGTGACAAAATTAGACCCTGTTGCAAAGCAAAAACCAAAACAGACAAACAAACAAACTTAAGTAAATGCTAGGAGAGAGCTAAATAGGTAAGGATTAGCTATAATATCAATCAGTATCTAAGAGTTTCCCTTATCTGTGAAGCTTTTCTTGATTAATTATGTCAAATCAGTATATCATAAGCAATATTTGTAGTGGGTAGAAAAGAGAGACATGAGCATTTCTTCAACTTATGCACACATAATTGTGGGTGCTACTGGTGGATTTATTAAATAAATGAACAATAAAGGAAACAAAAACTGTTTAAACTGTATTTGGCACTTAAGATTAAAAACTTTCTTTTCTTTTCTTTTTTTTTTTTTTTTTTTTGAGACAGTCTCACTCTGTTGCCCAGGCTGGAGTGCAGTGGCGCGATCTAGGCTCACTGCAACCTCTGCCTTGGGTTCAAGTGATTCTCCTGCCTCAGCCTCCAGAGTAGCTGGGACTATAGGCACGTGCCACCATGCTGGGCTAATTTTTTTGTATTTTTGGTAGAGAGGGGGTTTCACCATGTTAGCCAGGATGGTCTCAATCTTTTGATCTCATGATCCGTCCACCTCAACCTCCCAAAGTGCTGGGATTACAGGCGTAAGCCACCGCACCCAGCCAGATTTAAAAATTAAAACTGGTTAAGAGGATTATTTGATTGGATTTTCATTTTTCAAAAACTTGCACTGGTCGTTTAGTTTATTGAGAATAGGGTTAAATTCTACATATGTCTTTTATATTTCCCTTACATATTTACACATGCCAGGGACTGGATTGAGATGAAAAAACAACAGCTTTAAAAGATAAATGCCAGTTTAAGATTATGACATT